GTAGTGGCCCAACTTCTTGACGGTCCAAACGATGGCTAACACCGTTTTCTCCACAGGAGAGTACCTGAGTTCGGCCTCCCTTAGGGTCTTGCTTACATAGAAGATGGCATGTTGGATGCCGTCTTCCTCCCGGATGAGTACGGAGCTGATGGCCGCCGGGCTGACCCCAAGGTAGAGGTAGAGGGTCTCCCCTACCTTGGGTTTGGAGAGCACAGGAGGTGAAGATAGATATCGTTTGAGCTCGTCGAAAGACTCCTGGCATTCTGAAGTCCATTGAAAACCAGCCGTCTTCCTCATGATTTGGAAGAAGGGTAAAGACTTCTCCGCTGATTTAGATAGAAAGCGGTTGAGGGCTGCCAGGCGGCCCGTCAACCGTTGAACTTCCTTCACATTGCGTGGGGGTTCCATGTCGATGATGGCCTGGATCTTCTCGGGATTGGCCTCAATACCCCTTCGGCTCACCATGTAGCCCAAGAATTTGCCCCCTTGGACGCCGAAGGTGCACTTCTTCGGGTTTAGCCGAAGGTTGAATTTTTGCATGATGGCGAAGATTTCCCGGAGGTCGTCGGCTTGGCTGGAAGATTGTTTGCTCTTGACGATCATGTCGTCAACATAGGCCTCCATGGTGCGCCCTAGGACGGCTTGAAAGACCCGGGCCACCATCCTTGTGTAGGTGGCCCCCGAGTTCTTTAGGCCGAAGGCCATTACCAGGTAGCAGAAGATGCCCTCGGGAGTCATGAAGGCAGTTTTTTCGGCGTCTTCCTCGTGCATGAAAATTTGGTGATACCCTCGAAAGGCATCGAGGAAGGACATGATCTCACACCCTGCGGTCTCATCCACCAGTTGATCAATATTTGGTAGAAGGAAAGGGTCCATAGGGCACGCCTTGTTGAGATCCGTGTAGTCCACGCACATGCGGAAGGTAGGGGGCTTCTGTGCGAGGACCACGTTTGCCAGCCATGAGGGGTATTTCACCTCCTTGATGTGCTTAATAGAGAGGAGCATGGCGACCTCCTTTCTCACAAATTCCCTCCTCTCGGCGGAGAGGGGTCTTCTTCGTTGTTGTACTGCTTTTGCCGAGGGGTCCACCGAGAGGCGGTGGGTGATGACCCTTCGGCTAATTCCCGGCATGTCCTCCGGCCCCCATGCAAAGACAGTGGAGTAGGCACGGAGGGCGTCGGTGATACCGGTCTTCAGATCTTCAGGGAGCTGGGCTCCAATCTTCACGACTCTCTCCGGCTGGGCCGGATCGAGCGCAAAGTCTTCTACGTCCTCGGCTGGTTCAGCCCTCGGCCTTTTTTCTTCTTGGTCGATGGTTCCGGTGATGGTGTCAACGCGGAACTCCGTCTTACTTACCTTCTTAGTGACTTGAAGATAGCAGGCGCGGGTGATTTTTTGATTCCCTCGGGAGTAGCCAATGCCCCCCTCGGCGGGAAACTTGAGGCAGAGGTGCCTCATGGAGATGATGGCCTCGAGGTCCTCGAGGGCTGGCCGGCCGAGGATGATGTTGTGGGCGCAGTCGATGTTGACGACGACGAACTCCACTTCGTGCTGGGCTCTATGGAGCCCGTCGCCGAAGATCATCGGGAGGGTTATTACCCCCTCGGAATCAATAGTATCGCCGGTGAAGCCGGCAAGAGGGGTCTTAATGGGCCGAAGGGACCCCTCTCCAGATTCAGCTCTCTGAAGGTGCTGAGGTACATTACATTGACGGAGCTGCCCGTGTCAATGTAAGTTCGGTGAATGATGGTGTCGTTTATTTCAGTCCGAATCACCAAGGCATCCCTGTGAGGAGAAGAAGTAGGAGGGAGATCTGCGTTGGTGAAGGTGATGGGTTCCTCCCTCAGTCGCTTTACCGGGGCCATATGAGTGACTTCCCCCACGTAAAGCGATTGAGCCCACTTCTTTCGCTGGCTGGTGGAATCGCCCCCTGTGTTGCCACCGGTGATCATGAGGATGTGGCGTTTTTTCTCCTGGTAGTGGGGGTATTCCTCCTCCTCTTCTTCCAAGTTTCCGATCTCCCTCTTCTTGCCGAGGGGGATGGTATTCGGGTTCACCCAAGCGTTCACCTTCGTGTGGTGCCCTCGGGGAGGCCCCTGATGAGAAGGTCCCTCCTGCCGAGGGCTCTGGACAAATTGGGATAGGTGCCCCGCTTGTATCAATCTCTCGATGGCCGTTTTTAGCTGATGGCAGTCATCGGTTCTGTGCCCCTGGTGCCGATGGAAACGACAGTAGGGGAACTGAGGGTTGATAGCATGTACCTCCGGGGGCGCGCGAGAATCGCGCTCAACGAGACCCCTCTCCTCGGCAAAATCGAGGATGATGCTGACGGGGTGCGTCAATGGCGTCCGAGGGCGGTCCAGGAGTATGGGCTGTGCCCAAGTCTTAGGGTTGCTCTTATAACCTCCCCCGGGCTTGGCTTGGCCTTGCCGAGGGCGATCATCAGAGGGTCCTGAAGATTTGGGGTGATTTGGAGGAGCCCCCGGCCCTCGGTTGTTTTTGTTGTCAGCCCTCGGGGGCTGTTGATCCGGATGCTGGTGATATTTCTCCACCTCCTCGGCCTCAGCATATCGGTCCCCCCGCTGCAAAGCCCTTATGTAGTCGCGGGGGGGTTCAATGATGAGGCTCCTTGAAAAGTTGTCGGTGCGGAGGACGGTTTGTAGGAGGGCTAGGAGGGTCCCGTCATCAGCACCGTCGACTTTGTCGGCATCCGTCCTCCAGCGCTCCAGGAAGTCCCGAAGGGTCTCATCCCTCTTCTGGCGTATGGTTAGGAGGTGGGAGAAGTGCTTCCTTGTGCGACGCCTCCCGGCAAATTGTGTCAAGAATCGCTGGGCGAGTTCTTGCCACGAATCAATGCAGCCCTCGGGCAACCGGTTGAACCATTCGTATGCCGGCCCCTCTAAGGTGGAGAGGAACCAACGACACAAATATTCGTCCGACGCCCCTACCATCATCATGCTGTTTTGATATTTGCTGTAGTGTTCCTGGGGGTCCGTCTTCCCGTTATAGGGCTGTATGTGTTGCCCTCGGTATTTTTCCGGGATCCGGGTCGTTAGTACCCTTGGGGTAAATGGCGTCCGAGTTCGGAGCTGGATGACGGGTTCCCCAGAGCCCTCGGCCACCTTCTTCTGTAATTCCTCCATTTTGGCCATCATGGCCTCGTATTTGAGATCTGAATGAGGGGTGGAGGTGGTGGCGTGAGCTTTGTTGGCCTCCATTTCATCAAGCCGGCGTTGGAGGGCCGCGATAATTTCGTCCCGGGGATCCTTCGGGAGGGTCTCCGCCCCCTGCGAACGAACCCGGGCCGATTGGGCCTGGTTGATCTGGTGGCGAGCATCATTGGCATGAAGGGGTGCCTTGCCTTTGTCCCGAGGGGGACGCTCCTCGTCTGCCCTCGAGACAGACCCTCCGCTTTCCTGGGGCCTTTGGAGTGCTTTCCCTCCGAGGCGGTCTTGGACCCCTCGGCGGTCTGGCCCTCCTCCGAGCCGGTTGAGGGCGGAAGTGCGGGGCCTTTCTCTGTTGTCATTGTGGCAGTCCCGGGACTGAACTTCCTGGGAGGACGTATCTTGGGCCACTACCCCTTCGTCGTTCCTAACCCGAGGGGTGGGGTTTCCGAAGGGATGTGGCAGAGGGGGAAGTATGATGTTCTCCCCAACCTGGGGGTGAGCCGGAGCCAGGGTGCCGAAGGTACCCGGGTTCTGAGTGAGCGTTTGGATGAAGGCGGAGAGCGCCGATTGCACGTCGATGGTGAGAACCGGAGGGCTGACTTGGTCATCGCTCCGGTTTTTCTTCTTGGCCTCGATGCCGAGGCGGGCATCGGGGGCATTCTGTTGGATCTGAAGGCGTAGGTCGACAGCCGCCTGTTCCAGCCCAGCGATGACACCGCCCTCGGGAGCCCTGTGAGAGGCTTCGGGGGCGTTGACGTCGCCGAGGGCCAGGTTCTTGTCTTCCACGTTTTTGGAGTTGGCACGTGTTGTTCTCACCATTTTTGGTAGAGGGCTAGTGTTTGGCGAAGGGGGAGGGTTTCTTACTTGATTGTTCGACCTCTCAACGAGAGCACCAAATGATGGATAGTCTACCCGGGGGTATATATCCGAAGGATTATTGCTGGGAATAACTTAGAGAGAAGTCAGAGCAAGTAAATGTAGAGAGAGAGAGTGTATTATAAATGTGGAGCGTTTTCAGTGTGGTTACAAATGGGGAAATGGGGTGCTATTTATAGTAGCAATAAATGCCGGACAGGGACACGTGTCAAGCGCCTATTGGCCGAGAGGTCACCTCAACTGATTGGCGTTGGCAGCCGCATGTGGCCGCATTTAATGCGGCTATTGGATGGGACGTCTGTACAGGGTACGGTGATCTGTACGCATGTGAGGCGGATATCATGTCGGGAGAGGTGCCCTCGGCTGCAGAGGACTAGCCGAGGGCTCTTAGTGCCGAGGACCCCTGAGTGCCGAGGGCTCCAGGTGCCGAGGGCTACTGTTTTCGCCGTTTTCTCCCAGTCCCTCTGTTTGTTCGAAATATCCGTTCTGTGAGAGTTTGGAGCCTTCGGCCAGGGGGCCGAAGGCACCCCTGGTGCGTATTTGCGGGCTGCTTGGTACTTTGGGCGCCGTGATTTGGGCCTGTTGGGCCTCCACTGGAGTAGTAGGAGTCTGTGGGCCGGGTGTTCCCGGGCCATATACTCCATCACTACTGAAAAGAAGGTTAGCAACTCTAGGAGAGATTTAAAGTTAAATCATGGGCTGTTTGAAAAAGAAACGAATTCAATTGAAAGAATAATTTATTGGGGGATATAATACACTTTACAAGAGAACCTAGAAACTCTTATCTATGTGCGAATCTCCACAAAATTAGTTTGACACAAGCAGAATCAAATCAATTTAAATAAATCGAAGTTTTGCCATCCTTTATTTGACCAACGAAATAACAAAAATCCTTACTCCAAACAATATTGATAGAAAAATATAAGTAGATAGAATACAACTGGAACTTCAACTTACCAGGTTTAGGATGACGGCTCAAAATATGGACGTATTCATCAGCAAGATGAGCAGGTCGAAAATTGAAAAATTGGAGACTGTTTTCATTTGATTGAGAGGGAAGAAGGTAAGGGGTGCGGCTACTGCTGGTCGAAGAAAAGAAAACGAACGGCTGATTGAGAGCTTAAGGGTTTCTTATGATGATATAAATCTCCTTAGGGGTTTAGTTTAAAAGAATCTTATTTGGGCTAAGATTGATTTGTGCTCCTAATGTTCTAAAAAAATCCAACGAAAAGTATTTTCTATTTCAAAATAAACTGATTAAGCTTTAAAACATTACTAATTTCTTCACTTAAAATTATTAGAACTTACCGGTCAACGTTACCTGCCAGAACAACATGTGATCAAACAATAAATCATATTAGTCATAGAACAAACTTATTTAACTAACTAAAATAAATAATATTGATTAATATAACTAGCTCATAAAAATCGGGGTATTACAGTTAGTACTCCCTCCATCCCGCTAAAATTGTCCCATATTACCTTTTTGGAATATCCCACTAAGATTATCACATGTCAAATTTGGTAAAGTTTGTTTGACTCTAAATCATACTTACTTTATTCTTGCTTTATCAATTCAATATCAATACATAAGTTTATTTTTCTTAATAATCGTGTCACATTTTCTTGTTCCAATGTTAGTAAGACAGAGGTAGTACATAATAGTACTACATGAGTTTTATTTGGAAGAAAGTGGCTTAAATTAATATAACAGAACGTAAGCAGGGTAACCTGAGCCAATGATTGGTAAACTAGACTCCCAATCATCAGTCTTATGTTCTAGAGTTTTGACATGAATAAAAAAAAAAAGCAAAAAGAAACACACGATGTCGAGAACAAAAAATAGCACGAAAGTAAAAAAAGTAGTTCTTCAATCTGCAGAGAGCACCAAATCTTCATGGATTTTGGCGGGTGTGGATGCTCCAGCCCGCCTCTTCCCTATTTTTTGTCTCATTCAGAGCCATGACATCCTCCTCTGAGTTCTCATGCCCCTGTGTTTCCCAAGTACGCGTCCTCGTCTGTTCCTCTGGTCCGCTACTACTCTGTCCCACACCATCATTGTTTGGTGGTCCCACACCTCCCTGGGTCTTCTCTTTCGTGTAACTATGACCATGTGTCAGGCTTCTCTTTGAGGTTTCTTTCCGTCTTAGTTAAACCTCTTCCTGCACCTCCTTCACTCACAAGCCATTTATTACCCAAAGATGGGTGAGGTCTCGCTCCTCCCGCCCGCAACCACAGACTAAAAGATTTAACAATAGTTTTATTTACTTTTTCATAAAATAAAGGACAAAACCTCTTAGCATGCCCTACATTTCCACAAGTAAAACAAAAGTTGGGGAGTTTTTCATATTTGAAATCAACCCAATACCCTTCCCCTTTGCTGTTTTTCAAGGTTGTTCCCACCTTCAGGGGATCTCTCAAATCCAAATTCACTCTAACCCTCATATAGGCCTCCCATTTCTCATCGAACTAGTTAACATCCCATGTAATAAACTTTCCGAGGTGATTCCCAATTCTTGGAGCAGTGCCCAGATTTGAAGAGCCATACGGAACATTGTGCACATGTACCCAAAAATCAGCTGAATCCAGTGGGACCTTTAGAGGAATATCACCCAGGTTTTATGTCCTTTAACACCAACAGATTTTGATCAAACAACCAGGGGCCATTATCCAACACACAGGACATGTTAACTATATGATAAAATTTAAACAGATACCTCATCTCTCTGATCTCCTGGATCAACACTCCTTTGCTCGGACGCCACAGAGCCGCCATCAGGTCTCGAAAAGATTGGAATTTCACTACCTTATCTATGAGAATCATGCCAACAACAGGGAATGTGTTCGCCTCTTTGTCCGCCGCGCCGGAGTCGGATTCTGATTCTTCATCGTCATCCAACAGTAGTTCATCCGTAGTAGGACCCAAGCCCATTCTGTCATATTGGTCAATCAACTTCTCCACGCTACCCACACCCGTAGGAGTCTCCTCTTCCTCGTCATGCTGATCGTCGTTGATCTGTGAATTGAATTCGTTCGTCAACATAACGCCCTCTTCTGATTGTTGTGCCTGGCCGCACAAAATCGGAGGAAGTTCAAAACCCTACGAAGAGGGAGAGCCGCTTCATTATGCCTCAAGCCTTTTAGAACACTGTGTGGGATAATAGTACTACGGCTTTGTTTGCAAATACTACTCATAAGTGCTTTTGAACTTTTTAAAATGATTTTGGAAAAAGTGTTTAATAGTAAAAGTTGGTAGTGTTTGAGAAAAATTTGATTTTGAAAAAGTTAAAGTTGACAGTGTTTGATAAAATAAGTGCTTTTTGTATAATAGAAAAAGTAAAAAGCAAATTCTAGCTTTTAGCTTTTAAGTACTAATTTAAGTAGAAGTTGTAACTTAAAAACACTTTTTTTAATTTTTTAGGTTAAGAGCTTTTTTTTAGTGTTCGCAAACGGTGCCAACATAAGTTTGATATAAGCTCAAAATAGGCTTATCAAATCTAAATCAGTAAATATGATAAACCAAAAAAAGTTCAAAATAGGCCTATATGATTTTGAAAAAGTGACACTAATAGTAAGCCTAATTTTGAAAAAGTGACACTAATAGTAAAAGTTGGTAGTGTTTTTGAAAAAGTGAGCCAATGACTTTGGTAAAAGTTGGTAAAAGTTGGTAATGTTCAAATCTAAATCAGTAAATATGATAAACCAAAAAAAGTTCAAAATAGGCCTATATGATTTTGAAAAAGTGACACTAATAGTAAGCCTAATTTTGAAAAAGTGACACTAATAGTAAAAGTTGGTAGTGTTTTTGAAAAAGTGAGCCAATGACTTTGGTAAAAGTTGGTAAAAGTTGGTAATGTTCAAATCTAAATCAGTAAATATGATAAACCAAAAAAAGTTCAAAATAGGCCTATATGATTTTGAAAAAGTGACACTAATAGTAAAAGTTGGTAGTGTTCAAATCTAAATCAGTAAATATGATAAACCAAAAAAAGTTCAAAATAGGCCTATATGATTTTGAAAAAGTGACACTAATAGTAAGCCTAATTTTGAAAAAGTGACACTAATAGTAAAAGTTCAAAATAGCTTTTAAGTACTAATTTAAGTAGAAGTTGTAACTTAAAAACACTTTTTTTAATTTTTTAGGTTAAGAGCTTTTTTTTAGTGTTCGCAAACGGTGCCAACATAAGTTTGATATAAGCTCAAAATAGGCTTATCAAATCTAAATCAGTAAATATGATAAACCAAATCATATAAGCTCAAAATAGGCTTATATGAAATTTGGTATGAGTAAACTAGACTTAATGAAGAAGATGTTCAAAAAATTCATCAAACAATTTCACCGGAAACCGCATCAAATGGCGACGTCCGGACAGAGCGTCCTATAAAAAAACTTATTTGCATTTTTTATGAAAATTAAAAGACTTATTTGGTAATTGTCCAAAAAAGGTTAAGAGACTCAAAGGTTAACTAAAGAATAGAGATGTCCTCGAACGAGCCTGGAGTGGAAAACAATCCACTGCCCGCCTGCCCCTTCCATTCTCATTACTGTTTCAATGGCGTCTTCTGAAGCTTACCCCAAACAACCCTCTGACGAAATCCGAACTGATGTTCTCTCTGCCGCTAGATTGTCTTGCTACAAGGTACATGCCTTTCTCTTCCTCTTTTCCGTTTTTTTTTTCACTCGCAAATCCTTATATATTTTCATCCATGGGTTCCCAAAAGGCGCGCGACACATTCTATTCATGCCTGGGGAAAGAATCTGGCAAGAAAGCTACTGAACTCGCGACTGTAGGCCTGCTGTACCCAGCGGAGTGCAAGAAATCCAGAGAAGAATTTGTGAATCAGTGCCGACCAAGTTGGGTTAGTTCTTCTATTCGAGAAACTATTGATCCTTACGGTTTTCATTGGATGTAATTTATGGAGGCAGTGATGTCATAGTGATGTTGCTCTGTGTGTGCAGGTGAAACACTTTGATAGGCAGTATTGTGCTAAGAAGAGGGTTCAAAGGCTTTTGGATGATGATGATGAGTCAAGGAGAGGCCCTTTGTTACTCCCACAGCCCTATACATTCAAGCCCCCTTCTTCAAGCTAATATCAATAGTATGGATTTGTGTTATCCTGAAATAGTTTTTTTTTTTAATTTTTGAATAGGACCATAATAATTATGTACATCACATCTTCAATTAGATTTCACTTGTTACTGCTTCATTGCAATTATCATAATTCTATTTCTATTCAGAATGCCCTACTTTTTTTTTGTACAAGAGCATTTAGTTTTTGTTTGTCTATAGAGTAGTTCTTTCTTTATCAGTTTACCTGTTGTTTGTAACTGTCCAAAGGTAGCATCATTGGCTTCGGTGAACTATTCACAGGGATTTAGACTTAAGGTAAAAGGAAATGAATGTTGATTGGTGAGCTGTTCTTGCTATGAGCAGCTATAACGATCAAGTAAGATCAAGGGAATGCAGGTGCCTAGATTGCTGGGGGCAAATGTTAATGTGGAAATCTACTGCTTTTGGCATTCGTGGATAGTTGAAGTTAAGTGTCTCTGCTATAGGTTAAATATATCCTACTGAAGAATAAAAGTAGATGTAATTTTGAAGGCCACTTGGGCTTGACTGTGAAAACTCTTCTCGAGATGCAACATTTATGCTGTTTACACTTTCCACAAAGATTAATTCATTCTGTTCCATTTGGAGGTGAATTGAGGACACCTTTTTCATATGCCATTTCTGATTATACACATTTTCAATTCCTTTTTGTATTGTTTTTTCATTTTTGTGAAGTATTCTTTTCCATTTCCTTTGCGGTCTTGTAGTACATCTTTTCTTCTTTCTTTTCAAGTAACTGGTGCTATTATGCACAAACTCTTTGCCAGTACAACAGTTTCAAGAGTTGGTTCTTGAATTATCATGACTATTGTTGGTTTAAATACTTTGCCTTGTATGATGTGAACCCGGTAATATTGCTAAATGATTCAACTTAGAGCATTGTGTTTCTATCTAGTTAAACTCGTTGCTGTAACCTTAGCAGTTGTGTTTAATCAATTACATGAGTGCCTTTTCCCATATACTGTATGTAAAGAATCGCAATATACGAAGGATCTAAACAAACTACTGTAGTTGTTCATAACCATATATTCTATCTAGAAGTGACACATTTCGAACTTTTGGTTGTGCGGAAATTTTCTAGCATCATCTTTTGGGCGTGATGCTCCAAGACTCAGGCATGTGTGATATACTGATATGTAGTGTTTCCGCTCCTATTTTTTATCATTTTAACTTTTGATCTTTACTCAGTTAAACTTGATTCACTTCCCGTCATTCTTCTTCCACTTCAAGTCATATACACTGGTTGTATATTAACATTTAATGCACCATGAGTATACTAACACTAGACAACTTAGTTGCATGATTGAAAATATGTTTCCAATATCTATCTGTTACTCATCTGTTTCTAGCTGTGATGGCAACTAAGTTGTCTAGTGTTAGTATTATGTCCTACCACTTTCGTGGTATGAATGACATTGTGAAAAAGTGAGAAGTTATTACAAGCTTTTAAGCTTTTTATAAGGATGTTAATGTAACTGTGCTGTCTTCTCAAGGTGATTAGGTTATTGGGTAATTGGAAAAGTAAGATCAGTATGCATGCTCAGGCCTCAGGGACTCGGGGTATCATTCAGTGTTTGGAAGTAGTATATTTCAAGCAACCTTTTACCATTATCTTCTTCACTACACTTGCCACAATCTTAGTGGCTGGTGTCTTTTTTAAAGGGAATGGTGGGACAATTTGTATCTGTCTAACAAACAGAATACTGGTTAGATAGCTTTAGAAGAAGCGAGTGATTTGAGAAAACTGTTGCTCTTTTTTGTTTTGTTATTATAGTATTGCATGGAAAGGCTGGGCCTCTCGTTTTGGGCTGGGATTAACTTCATTCTATCCAGGATGGTATTATGTAATCAATATAAGGGCATCTTAAGTAGTTAAGTGTAATAGAACTATATCTGGTTGGATGAGAGGGGTGTGTGTATAAGTACAGAGATGAATTCATATGGGAGACACTTGAGTTACGAGCCTGGTTTTTTGTTTATTTCCCCTCATGGCTTAAAGATGGTACGAGCCTGGTTGTTATTATAACTTATAAGACCTCATTTTGGAAATTAAGTGGTAAAAAAACAAATAAATTACATTTTATTATTGAAATGTAAGTCATCCTGGACTAGCTTTTGCTTCATGATGAAATTTTGACAAAATCATACTCTGTAATATGTTTGAGATTGTGATAAGATAAAAATAAAGTATTTATAGCCACCAAGGGACCAATGTAATCCCAAATGGGTTTAAGAATCTTAAAAATTTCACGTGGCTGCTTCCCTTGTAGGATTGCTGGATTTAATACTTATGAGTTATGAGGTACTTGCCATTATGAATGAAGGCGATCTTGGGAAGATGACCTGACTTCCCGTTTGAAGTTCATGAAGAACATGTACTCCATAATAAATAGTCTGGGGTGCAAGAAGTCAGCATGATTTTGCAATATGCAATACCAGATTTTATTTGAAGAAAAAAAACTGTTACCAGAACCACATAGAGAGAAATTGAATTAGTCTAGGTGGGGGGGAGGCTGTTGAATGCATAGAAGATGGACTGCAACGTTATAATAAATCGGGGATAATACAAAAAAAAATGCATGATTGCATTGTATTCTTAACAAATCATTGGTAAGCAACTGGCATTGCTAATCTGATGTACTTATTCGCCTGTATATATAGGTGTTCGTCTCTCAGCAAATGCTGCAAGCCCTTCTAGCCGATCTTTTGTGTTCAATAGTTGCTCATAGCAATCCTCCTCCAATGCCAGAGCTGATTCCAAATCTAACGCATATCCTTTATCAATTGCATGTTTTGCCATCTTTAATGCAAGCGGTCCCTGTCATAAGAGATATCAAGGTCAATACAAGGTCACCTAGGTATACACACTAATGTTCCTCCAACAGCTAAAAGACAAACATGGATTCTGTATGTCAATGATACAGAATGGTGAAAACCAAATGCCAAAACACCTATTGAAAAGGATAAGGGAACAATGGAGTGAATTATTGGGATTTGTTACTTCGGCATCTTGAATGTATAAGAGAGTTAGTGAATTGAAAGTAAGGGTTTTTAACTCATTCAATGAAAATATATAACTCCAACCTTCTGGTTTATACTTCGAGCAATTTCAAGTGCCTTTAGACGAGCTTCGCCAGAAGGAACACAATCATTGACTAGTCCTGAACAAAACGGTCTTTTTAATACTGGATATTCAAAAAAGACAAAAGTACCAGAACTATGGCATACCCACCCAGTGATAAGGCTTCCTTCCCATTAATCTTTCGTCCAGTAAATATGAGATCCTTTGCGATTGATTTTCCGACCAATCTAGGAAGCCGCTGTGACCCACCAGCTCTGCAAATGGTCAAAGCAAATATGACATATTCAGCAGACATCTTCCAGTTCTGAGCATCTCACAATTTGAAATTCTGAACATATAGATCAAAATATACAGCTTGTCGAATACGCACAACCAATTAAAGGGATGAACATTGCCACATTTACATTCCGAAAAAATCACTAGAGACATACCCAGGTATGATTGCAAGTCCGGTTTCCGGCAAGCCCAAAACTGTATCCTCCCCTGTGTAACATTCAATAAAATGATTTCAGGATGTAAGCAAATCTGAAGGCTAATTGTCATTGCTATAGGAGTCCAGAAAAAAAACTCACCGCAAATGCGAAGATCACAACATAATGCCATTTCTAGTCCTCCACCTAAAGCTACACCATCAATCACAGCAATAGTTGGAATACAAACTGCCTAGATAGTGAGATGAAAATTTAGACACATCATATAACTTCGAATTAAAAAAAATTGCAGGTCTTCTCCACTTGCGCCCCAACGAACAAATGAATAGTAAGACAACAAAATATAACATGAAACAAAAATGCAGTAACGCCAACATATAGAGAATTATAAATAATTAGCAAGAAAAAGCATTATTGCAAACAGACCTCCAGAGTAGTGAATGTTTTCCGAAGAGTGTTCACAAACTCCCTGACCTCTAATGGAGCCATTGTCTTTCTCTCCTACATACATGGTTAGATTATAAAAGACTATCAATCTTATCATCTGACCAGTTGCTTAATAATAAGCATCAAATAGCAGCATCTAAAAATTGATAAATGTAATGCACCTTCATAATATTGCAGTCTTATTTGCTGGCTAACATGGGATAAGGGACTGAGGTTAGAATCACCAGTTGATGATGTACCATTTTTTAAGAGTATTGATGTGAGCACACTAAGTTTTGAAAAAAATTATGCAAGGTAGAATTACTGAATTAGCACACTAAGTCTTATAGTTTATTGTACTTCGTTATTTTGTTTATATAGCACTTCTTACTTTTAACTCCTATAATCCTATTGCTAGTTTCTATTATTGAAAAAGGCACATGTGTACATTTGTTGCAATAAAAAAAACACTATTGGACATTTTCATTAAGATTTGAAGTGATTTTCAAGACTCGAAACTTAGGTGCTAAATCTGCCACTGAGGATCACAGGATTCACAGCCCTAGAGTAGGTTTTCATGGAGCTGTAAACCTTGTATCAAGGAGATGCCATGGAGTCATTTAAGAAGCTGCTTCTTATGCTAAACAATAGAAGGTGGATTTTGAATAATATACTTTGTATAAGCAAAAAAATAACATGATGAGCAATTGCCGAAAGGATTCCTTTAAGACTTGTCATAAGTTGTGCATAAACAAACATCAATGACTCAGGTTCCCAATCAACTCCATGAGCTCAGGTTATTGTAGAAAAGTAGGCTGCAACGCAAAAATACGCCATGAAGCTAAAATATTTAACTTTTCTAGCATGGTTGCAGTCTAGTTGTCTTCTTTAACTATCATAGCGTTTCCTCATTAGTAGCAATAGGTTGGGAAATGAGGGGGAAAAGAGTCAGCCTTTAAATAAAATGAATAAACAAGAGTCAGCCTTTTATTTTAGGACTTGTGAAGAAATTACCTTCAAATCAGCACCAGCACAAAACACTTTCGGAATGGAGCTGCAGATCATTAAAATATTAGCCAAACGTTCTTTAGTTATTCTATCTAACGCATGTTGTAATTCTCTTAGCATATCCTTCCCAATCGCATTCTTTCTGCCCGGCCTATCCAACTTAAGCTCCAAAATTCCTATCAATTAACAGCCCTAAATTACTAATTTAGACGTAAATCACAGTTCAGTGATTCATCTCTATCAGTGAGATTGCAATTTGTGAAATTCCATAGTTTTGATATGTATAGAAAAACAAATAAAATACTCCGTAGGTATTAAATTCCAGGGTTCCGACGGGCGTTTACCAGAATCAGAATCGGAGTGTTGCTCTAACTTGATGGATTCAGAAGTTAATGTCTCTAAGATGAGAGTCCGCCTGCTCTGGAATGCCCATCTTTGAACTTGGGAATGGGAATTCAAAGTCCTAAGGCGAGAGATTAGCTGAGAGGAAATGTAGGGTTTTGATTCCGTCGATAATGTTAGCTCGAGTGACTTGGCTATGGCGCGTAGAACGACAACCATGATTGAATTCTCCAGTGATCAACTCAGTAGTAGACATTCAAATTCAAGTTAGCATCTTTATTGGTTTCTCTAAGCCTAAGGATTTGTTTTAAAATGAGAAAAGTGTCAGTTCAGTACACGAATGCATGAGTTATGGAGTCAAGAGTACATAATCATGCAAACCGGTTCCAATGGTACATGAAATGAGAAAATAGGAGTTAATTTAGTACCTCGGGCTATTTAAGCGGCTAAACTGCCAAGGTGTCCAACGGATTACTGATTTGGCCAAAAAAATCATGTTTGTGTAATACAGGGTGACCTTCAAGTCAGCATTGTCCTTCTTCTTATCTTTCTCTATACAAAAGCAGGAGAAACCAGGTCTCTTTTCCCGCCCAAAACCTTGCTGAATACCGGGTCGGGTCATTTTGTGCGGGTTGTTTAATGGGTTGGGTATAACGTAATGTGTTACAGTCTGTCTGGTCACATGTTCTTTGAATTGATTTC